CTCTCTGTCTCTGTCTCTGTCTCTCTCTCTCTCTCTCTCTCTCTCTCTCTCACGCATACACACACACATATACACATTCCCTCTCTCTCTCTCTCACGCACACACACACACACACTCGGCAATCAGCAGAGCGTCCCGTTGCGCAATCATGCGTATACGTGTTGCAAGATCACTGTGTCAGATGGATGTCCGGACGCGTAGCCTAGCGGCTCCTCGTCTGGAACAGGTCGCGCAGCCACGGCCAAATAAGTAATATACCGTATCATGATTACATGATCGTATGGCTAAGTTTGTACGAGTACTTCGAGTACTAACAGGACCGTAGCTAGCGAGGAGCAAAATGGCAGTTTCTCCCCCCTCAAAGAAATGTAGATACATTACAATTGACATGGTCAGTGGCTTAAAAAAAGTGGCTTAAACATTCAATTAAAAAAAATAATGGTAAATAAACACGAAATGTATTTATTACCAAAGTCTTATTGTTTCTCTACTCTCTTTCGCCTATTATTGCTGATAACTTCCTGTAAATTCCGTTTAAATGCTCCTCTGCTACACACAAGTACACCGCACGCACGTCACTGTGCACAAACAACAAGAACAAAGAGCTGGTAGGAAAGCGTGATCGCAAAATTCGCTCGATGCTCGCTTGAATTCACACGATCACAGAATAAATACTCAACCAATCTACTCCATTTTTGTTTCTATTTGAAGGGAAGTGTTCACTTGTTCGAATTATAACTCTTGTCTTTTGTTGTTACCTACTCCAGCCAGAGATATCTCGTGAAATCCTGCAGGATGTGTTCTCTCAGCGTTTTGGTAAATGAGACGAGATGTCTGTGTATCATCCAAAAATCCCTAACCGCGCTACTCGATTGTTTTAGCCAATGAACGTATCTGTGTGTGTGATGCCCCTGTCACACCTACACGATCACTACCGCGATCAGCCGGCGACCGCTTTGCGCTCCCGGACTTTGAACATTTTCAGCGAAGCGCAGTGACATCGCCGAAAATTGTGGAATCCATGACACCAGGTAGCTTACATTCCGCTTACAGTACGCTCTTGACTCGCTTATTATGCTCTCACTGCGACCCTATGCGTTCCCAGTTTGATCTTCAGTGCGCTCTCAATGCGCTCTGTGCACTCTCAGTGCGTCCAAGTCGCCCTCAATACGTTTGCAACTCGCTCACTGCGTGCACAACTCACATGGTGTCTTGTTTGGTGCATCTTGGACCAAGTCTTGCTAGGATCAAACATCTCTGGTTGTACCCAAATGCCCGAGCTACGACACAAAGATCTTGCATCCTTCTTTAACAGTATGTGGGACAGGTGTGACAGGGGTATTAACAGTAGCTTACAGTATGCTCTTGCCTCGCTTATTACGCTCTCACTGCGTTCTATGCGTTGTTGCTACGTTCACGATATGCTCATGTAGTTCGCTTTGCGCTGCCATGGCGACTGTACTGCGTCATTACACCGCTCTCGTCAGAGCGCCGACTCGCTGCGCTTGTACAAGCGCTGATGTTTGGCGCTCAAGGTAGCTCATGGCGACCCTCTTCCATCCTTGACAGTTTCCACTGCGTCACCAAATTATTCTTAGAGACCTTGCTGTGCTTTTCTTCATGCTTTTATACTTTTCCGGTTGCAGTGGGAGCGCCCGCGTGAAAGCGGGTAGGTGTGACAAGGGTATGACGTCATGCCCGCACACATTATGCTTGGCTTAGCGGGTCTCAAAATAGAGGTCGGAGGCAGGCAGCAGCTCATCCCAGCATGCAGTGCGCAGCCATTACTCGTGTGTAAACGGAAAACGGACATCGCGTCCCATTTACAAAAACGTGGAGAGAACATTTCCTGCAGGATTTCACGAGATATCTCTGGCTGGAGTAGTTAACAACAAAAGACAGAGTTATAATTCAAACAAGTAAACACTGCCGTTCAAATAGAAACAAAGATGGAGTAGATTGGTTGAGTATTTGTTCTGTAGTGTAATCGTGTGAAATCAAGCGAGCAGCGAGCGAATTTTGCGATCACGCTTTCTGCTTTTAATTCTTGTTGTTTGTGCACAGTGGCGTGCGTGCGGTGTACTTGTGTGTTGCAGAGGAGCATTTGAACGGCATTTACAGGAAGTTATCGGCAATAATAGGAAAAAGAGAGTAGAGAAACATTAAAGGTGCCTTCCCTCGAAATTTCAAGCGGCAAACGTAAAATCAGGTAAAAATGAATTATTTTTACATTGCACGGTTGTACTTGCCTATATATGTGTGATAGGTAAAAAAACATGGCCGGGAATACGTTTATTCGAAGCTTTTAGACTACAAAGTGAAAGTGTCGGGTTGAATGTTTCAAACAGCGTTAACTTTTTTTGCTCTGCGGCGATGTTGTGACGCGTCTCTTGTTGCCATGCAGTGTTGCCAAGTGCTGAAGGTCATGAAGGGTGCATGTGCTCATAGATATCATATAACACATGTGTTATGATATCTCTGGCTGTGCTGGTTACTTGACCTGCGTCGACTCTTGCCGCCATGATACAGAACAGTGGCGAAACGCGTTTTTTGAGTTGTTTTTTCCGTTGAGCGATTATAGGCTTGATACATGTTTTTTTCAGTTTTATTTTTAAAGCTAAAGTTCAGTTAAAGTGTAGTGAGTTATATTTACTTACGTTTTTACAGTGGTTTGTCACAAAAATGTGCGTGGGAAGGCATCCTTAAGACTGGTAATACATACATTTCGTATTTATTTACCTTTTTTTTTTTTGAGACGGTCAAAGTGCCTGTGGGCATAATTGTAAGTTGTAACACAACCCACACACCATAGCAGCCTGATGATGTCACGGGGGCGAATTTCAGCAAACCGGCACTAGTTGAACTTCGGAGCATTTTTACATTATCATGAATAATAAATTTCTGTAAGTATTATACCTCATTCAGTCATTGTAAGCACTAAATATCAAATAATAATTGTATCCTTCGCGAGGAAGTCGGCGGGGATACTATGGTTTCATGTCTCTCCAGCCGCCGCCGCTGCTCTGTCCGCCGCAGAGAATTTCCCTTCCGCTCTATAACTCGGCCCTAATTGACCTAGCGCTACCAAACTTGGTATACTTACACATCTTGGGGAGAAGGTGAGCAGCGTACCAAAACCAGGTCACTGCAGCTTTTATTTTACCTTTACCTTGACCTTGATCATATTTCCCTTCCACTCTCTAACTCGGCCCCTAATTGACCTAGCGCTACCAAACTTGGTATACTTACACATCTTGGGGAGAAGGTGAGCAGTGTACCAAAAGGTGAGCAGTGTGGGTGGTTTTGAACAATGTTTATGTCATTACAATAGTGGGTGGTTTTGAACAATGTTTATGTCATTACAATATAACTAAGAGGTCAAAATACGGCTATTACCTACCTTTGGTAGGAATGAAAGGAGAAGATATAAAAAAATTTTATGTCACAATAAATTTGGATAAATGCTCCAAAAATCTCCTATTTTGCACATGCTATGCAATACTTCAGGATTCCCAAAATGAGTCTAAATCCCGTCACAACCACAGGCACTTGAAGCATATCAACAGTAAACACACGCCGCCGCCATCGCGCGTACACTGACACATATACATATAGTATAGTATAGTATAGTATAGTATAGTATAGTATAGTATAGTATATATACTATATGTATATGTGTCAGTGTACGCGCGATGGCGGCGGCGTGTGTTTACTGTTGATATGCTTCAAGTGCCTGTGGTCACAACCATGCCCGTCACTCCTCACAGGGATGGAATTTTTTAGCTCGCCTTGACATCGTCAAGATGAGCTATTGCCATGGGGTGTCGTCCGTCGTCCGTCCGTCAACATTTGGCTACGGTCAACGATAACTCAAGTCTCAAGAACCGTTTGACCCACATGTTTCAAATTGCATACAGAATTGTTACTCCTATGGGAGAGGTTTGAACGTCCTATTTTGGAGCACGCCAGTCGATCTACTTTCGAGCCACGTCCACTTTTTGGCAAAGATGGAAATGGCCATAGGGTTCAGGTTCAATGGATTTTGCTCATTTCTGGTATGTGAATGAATAAGGACTGGCCCCAAAACATATCACACGGGTTTTGATTTTTTTTTTTAATTATGCAAATTGGGTAGATTCTAGCAATTTCACTATGCATTTCAGTGTCTGCCTACGGTCAACGATAACTCAAGAACCGTTTGACCCACATGTTTCAAATTGCATACAGTTGTTACTCCTATGGGAGAGATTTGAACGTCTTATTTTGGAGCACGCCAGTCGACCTACTTTTGAGCCACGCCCACTTTTTGGCAAAAATGAAAATGGCCATCTAGATTCATTCGATTTTGTTCAATTTTAGTAAAAGACTGTGTAAGGCTAGCCCCAAAACAGTTGTTACTCTTATGGGAGAGATGACAACGTCCTATTACGTTTATTTTTTGTCTAACTGGTTAACAACTCTGCAATCATACCTATATATACGTGTAATATTGTGTTTTAGATTCTTCGTTACAGTAATTTGACTGGAATATTTTATTGTTTTTATTTGCGCGATATTCGAAAACCAAAATGGCGATTATTTAGGCGTAGCGCCATATCTCGTCAAGATTTCAGACTTTCAGATCTGAAACATTTATTTTCGCACCAAAACTTGTGCATATATCATTATCAAGAGTATATATAATGGGAGATATGCTATATAATGGGAGTTCTCCCATATATATACTCTTGCTTTATATATCCCCCCTCCTTCTTTTATTACACGCAAGGTGAGCTACAGTACGTGTCACTGACACTTTCATTAATTCTGTAAACGCTGTTGTGTTTCACATGGCGGGGGATATCTAATATAAAGCTAAAAAAAACCTATTTAAAACTATTTGGGAAAAAATCACATACTATCCCTACAATGTAATACCACTGTAAATCTTTCTGTCATATACTGGAGCTGAGATTGTGTAATATTGTGTAACTTATGTACAAATTAGATAGATATTTTGAATGAACCTATTAAAAATACCTGATCTAAATTAGGTTGATTGTAGAATAGTGAAATGATGAAACAATCAACGTATTTAGCTTTTGTTTTAGGAGCATCTTCTGGCATTTGCACATTTACTTAGGATACTAAGATAACCTGTATTTCCCTAGATTATTTCCCCAAAATATGTTCCCGGCTTTGCTTCACAGAATTTTCATCTTCTGAATCTATTAATAATAATCATATGGTTATATTCTGCAGGAAAATCATGAACGAATGGTGACACTCATTGATGAGTTGAAAAGCAAAATCAACACGATCGTTGAAGGTAAACTTATTGAAAGTGTGTGCTACATTTATTCCATGTTGACTGCTGAGTCAATAACATGTATTCATGGAGACTTGGGTCTGGTGATGCAATTTACTAAATTCTAATCACTTCAGTAGTCCAAACTGAGTTTGCTATTGTTATTGCAGGAATCATCTTTAATTTACCTTCCCAGTGACTGACTTTTAATGTGTGTGATAGATTAAATTGACTGTCATTGCAGAAATCCCAAACATGTGAAAACTACATTTTAATAATCTTCTGTGGCATTCGTAAAGGCACTGACATTGACCTCAGTACCCATTTTCATTTACCCATTTATTCAAATTCCACATGTAATAGCAGCTACACCCAGGTGCCATTTGTATTGGGGTGCTAGCAAACAAATAATGGAACTCTATTGATATACATGTCCATATTTGTCAACTGTTGTCACAATAAATATTGTTTTACTGATGTGAATTTACAGGAGGTGGCGAAAAGGCAAAGCAGAAACATCTATCCCGGGGCAAGCTATTAGTCCGTGATAGAATAAATCACCTTTTAGATCCTGGCTCACCATTTTTAGAGTTTTCTCAGCTTGCAGCATATAACCTCTATGGTAAAGAAGAAGTGCCAGCCGGTGGGATTATTACTGGAATAGGCCGTGTGGCAGGGTAATTTTTATTCCACAAACATATCTAGAATTTGGCAGTGATATAAGGCTGCAGCATCTTTAATCATATACAAACATTAGGTTACTAGTTACATAACATGTGTCTGTGGTATATAAATACCAATGTAAGTCGTAGCTGTTTATGTATTCATTAGCTGTAAATGAATGAATACTATTGAATATATAATATTCACATTAATAATGATATATATTTATAGTAAATATATGTTATGAGTTACTATCATTCCATTCCTGGTCTAAATGCCATATTTTACACTATGATTTTAAAATATATATAATCCGCTTCCGTTGCAAACTTGTTATTTATGTGATTATGGATCAGTAGTTTGTATGGGTCATATTGTATATTTCAGCACGGAATGCCTGATAGTTGGGAATGATGCTACAGTAAAGGGAGGAAGTTATTATCCAATCACCGTAAAGAAACACCTTAGAGCTCAAGAAATCGCTGCACAGAACAACCTGCCATGTATATATTTAGGTAATTGAATGAATATTGAGTGCGCCTAAGAGGTGGCTGCTATCTGTTTACCGTTATCTATATTCTTCTACTGTTTTATATCGTATATATTCATACATGTCAACCCCTTCGGATGCCCACCTGTATAACCTTCTGGAAAAATCCATAAAATCCATAAGAAATCCTTAGGATCTACAAATCACAACAAAATGAGTTTAATATTAACACTTTATTAACCGAGAGTCATCTCTGCAGTCTCTAGTCTGCATTCACTTACTGTTCTCGTTACTTGTGTGCACGTGTTCATGCGTTATTTTATCGTTCTCTAAACAAAACAGCACGCAATAAATTTTGAGCCAAGTTTGTTTATAATCCGTATGATTTTAGGTGTATGCCCGTAAGCAATTTAAATAGGTGAAAATCCGTAAAACTTACGGACATTCCGTATAGGTTGACATGTATGTATATTTTTTAATAAAATTTAGTGTCAAGTAATGCTTTCTCCATAGCTGCATAAGTGTGCAAATATATATGCAGTGGTTTGTTATATGTAATACAGAGGCAGATCTAGGGGGGTGTCCTGGGGGTCCGGACCCCTCCCCTTTAATTTCAAAGTGCCCTAAAAAATTACTGCTCAGATGCTCTCAGAATGCACCAATTTGTAAGAAATTTTTTTGGGTAGGTCCCGCAAACCCTCCCTAAGTGGCAGATGGCTCCCGATCTCAGGAACTAGGGCATTCTGCTATGTTAGAACGGTTTCCTACGATAGAGTTTGCCACAAATACGAAAATAACACGCTGTTTAGCGCACTGCGCTACGTCCTTCTGTTGCATTTTCGCATTTCCGTAATCAGAATAAGCCCCGCCTTCTTCGTTGATGGACATGAATGGAGCGTCACTGACGTGACCAGTTACTGTACCTACTGTCTCTCGCCAGCCTGTTTACTTTTCGTAAATAATAGCCGCGTTCACACGTAGCAAGAAATCCGGTATTTAGCGTTCACACGAGGCAAAATGCGCGGTCCAAGAAATACGGTATCTAAACAGATCCGGTATTTGATGTAAAGCGGCTTCCCAGACCCCGAATAATTTGCCGTGCTTGAGAAATACTGCATCTCTTGGACCGCGCATTTCCTCGTGTGAACGCTAAATACCCGATTTCTGAAGCCGCGTATTTTAAAGACTGGTCCGCGCTCGACAGTTCCAGTGTAACGCGAGTGGAACTGTCGAGCGCGGACCAGTCTACGTATTTTATCGCCAGTTGGTGCGCATTGCATTGTTCGCTTGATTGTTTTAAAGCAGCTCGCAGCTCGCAAATACCGTATTTCTGGAGCCGCGAATCAGCGTGTGAACGCTCGGCGGCGTATTTGTCTCAGATTCGGTATTTCGCAAATACCGTATTTCATAAATACGAGGTCTCGTGTGAACGAAGCTAATGAAATACCCGGCCGATGCATTTCGCATCGAAGTGGAAAATTTTCGGCATTTTCACTCGTTGTCGGAAGTGAACGAGTGCGTCATTCATTGAACATTGAAGTTTTTCTTCAAATTAAATAATTCCGAAAATCCCTAACCGCGCTACTCGATTGTTTTAGCCAATGAACGTAGCTGTGTGTGTGACGTCTTGCCCGCGCGCTTTATGCTTGGCTTAGCGGGCCTCGAAATGGATATCGGAGGCAGGCACCTCGCAACTCGCGTGTTTGTTTACATATAGCTTTGTGACGTGCGGTGTTCGGGAGTTCTGCGATGATAACCTCGTAATTTCTCAGCATTTCTTAAGGTGCATGGAACATTTTATCAATTTAGTGGTGTCAGTTAGTCACGGATATGTCACAGTAAGTACTAACCGTATATGTTTCACATACGTTCACCTATTTTGCACACAGGCGGTCGATCATTGTGAAAAATTGTGTGAATATCTTTCAACAGTCTTGTACGTCAATGCACGTGCGTCAAGAGCCACAAACTCAACACAATTTCATCTCTGTTATTGTTTACGCTTGAATGCGTGATTGATCAGGGAGGGGGTGCATGTAAGAGGGAGACAGTTTCTTTGGGGTTCCGAAAAACACAATTCCACTTGACAATTTTATGGGCTATTTCAATTGGAAGCTCTGCATAATGGACCCCCAACAAGCCCTTTGACTGACTAGTCAAGAAATTCAAAGGTCTGTATATTGCTCTTATTTAGCCGCCGATAGTTTTTATTTAGAACAAAGTCTTCATTGTTATCTTCTAAAACTACAGACCATCCGCTGACCGCTGTGGAGACGTGCGCCAGGCCTCGAATTTGGTGCACGTCTCCACTGCGGACAGCGCTTCATACTTCCCCCCGAACATCCCCGCGGTCGCGTGCGCATATCCGGCGGAACTGCGCGTCTCATCCGCGCGCAGCGCTCAGGATCAACAGCAAAGCTGTGCCACGCAATCTTGTATTATGTCTCTCTGGATCCGCCCCTGTAATATATATTGCTGAAATGATCAGAAAATTGTTAAGTTGACAACAGGTGGCAGCATGATGCATTTTTCTTATGGGAGGCAGCGTTACCATGTAATGCTCAGTATCTATAGCACTATAGTGTATAACGTTTTCAAGTCTTGATTTTTCGTTATTATTTATTCATCATATGACAATTTAAATACTAATGAAATGGGTGCATATAGTGTACATGTATGTGTTCGTTTCAATACTAGACTAGTGTAGAAAAGCTTAATCTCATAAGCTTAACCCCATAATTTATTAATGATCTATTCATTTTAAGTTGATTCTGGTGGAGCCAATCTTCCTCGCCAAGCAGATGTCTTCCCAGACAGAGATCATTTCGGTAGGATATTCTACAACCAAGCACAGATGTCTGCTGCTAACATTTCACAGGTTGGTCATGTTTGGAAGTGTAACTTGTTTGCAGACTGATTTGTCACTCACTATATCAGAAATAATTCTCATTGAAACTGTATTGTCAGTGCAATTGTGGAAATAGCATATAAGCTTTAACGAAAAGCACAGAATGTTCTATATTAAAGTATGTGTATGTATGGATGAGCTTTAACTCAAAGACCATTGTTTTTAGATAGCTGTTGTTATGGGAAGCTGCACAGCAGGTGGCGCTTATGTACCAGCAATGGCAGATGAGAGCATCATAGTCAAAGGGCAAGGTACTATCTTCCTTGCTGGCCCGCCGCTGGTAAGTGTATCGAGTGCAATCATGCTACAATTACTGAGATGCCAGCCGTTATGATATGGCCGTAATCGTTGTTGTATTTGACAACCAAGTACGATATTACGATGGGGCAATCAATTTTTACGATCTCGTAGCAAAAGATAAATAAATTAAAACGATATAAACTCACTATACTGCATTGTGAGTTTCTTCACTTAGATTGCTTCACTTAGTCTCAACACTTAGTTAATAGAGTGTATCTATGTAGAGATTATGGTACCAGTTTAATATTCCCGCATACAAGAGCACCACTTCCATAGCCAATCAGCAGCCAAGAAAATTATTTTAAGCAATTCCGAGTCCAGGAAGATTGCTGCTAAATTAGCACTCAAATTGACAGTATCATTGTGGATATTGACTGTGTATCACATGGACATTGACATAGTTTTGCTCCATATATAAGTATCCAACTCTCTGTCATATAAAACATTATTTTTAAATGAGTGGCACACCTATATTGACATTGACTACGTTAGCGATACACTCACATTTATTTCAAATATTTGTATATTGCATAGAAAATTCTTTTTTTATTATTATTTGTAGTTTATTTACTGCTTTGCAAATGACCGTGGCGATTGCCGTGATTGCTTTTGGCAATTAGAAGAAGTCATTATGCCAAGTAATTAAAATAGTTAAATTAATTAAATAACTTTTTATTTTAGAAAGAGAGGTCACCCCCAGCCCTCTATAACCTTTGATGATATGTAAACAAATGGTTTCAATAAAGCTTAGAGAAGAAGAATTAGACAGGATTTTGACATATATGATGTATTATTTCTAATTTAGAACTGAAAACATTGTAGGGTTATATAATCATATCTAATTTACTCCTGCACTTGTCAGACTAATTGTTATCCAGGTGCAGGCCGCCTTTATATATAATAGTCCCAAACAAGTGATTACCATATGTAATGAATATGTTTTCAGTATAATTACCACTAATGCAACATGGTTGACCACTCCTGAAAAAGCTTTTAGAAACGGGTGAAAAATAAACTAACTCTATGTGTAGCAGCTAACAGAAATATGAAAAGAACAGAAGAACTGGTGATGCAGCCCTTAAGTTCACAACTGTCTGGAAAATTCAGAAATATTGGATAGCCAGTCCTTGAGAATGTTTTGCCATTGAGTTTGAAAATGTTGCTACCTATCATTCAAGCTGCCTGTGGGAAGCATTACATTGATCTCATAGGTGCATTATCTAATAGACATTTAATACTAATTGATATTCCTAACGGCAATACCTATGAATTACGATCATGCGTATAAACATCACTCTCGATACATACTGTGTAGGCTTCTGGCTGCATCTCACTGGCAAATTACTGGAATGGCAGCTCACTGCCATGTTTGGATTTTGAAATTGTGTCTAAAATTATTTTATTTTGGTTTTAATTCATTATAAATTTTATTTAGCAAACTTGTAGAGTTTTTAAAATAATCTTTAATGTTTGTTTATTTTCATCCTATATAAAATAGGATTAAAAACTAATTTCACAAATAAGTATAGGCAATTTTTTAATTAGCATTTTTTGGGCATTCCACAGTGACACCCTTTAAGAGATGGGTGACCAGATGTGTGAGGTATATGGATGGATACGGGAACTGTATGTTAGAACTATTGCATTTCACGGCATGTCATTCCTTGCAGGTAAAGGCAGCAACAGGTGAAGAGGTATCTGCTGAAGATCTTGGCGGTGCGGATTTGCACTGCGGGTGAGAGAACTTCTTTGGTTTCATATCTACTATTTATGCTACAAGCCATTTAGTACATATGAATCATGTATCCTGTATTCTGTGGTTCACATAAAATTAAGTGATGTGTAGAAGAAGATTGGAATTGCTTTGACCTTTTCAACAAGAAGCACATGCCTAATTTAGTGGCAGTCGATGCAAAAACATGGAAGAAGTTAGCAAACAAACAAACAAACAAACAAACAAACAAACAAACTCACTTTACACTATAGTATGATGCATTGCACGAGGTTATGTGCATTAATCATTGATGGCCACTCACGTGATAATCGGGGAAAAATCAACGAATAATCAGGGGAAGTCAATAAATTTGTTTCAAAGTGCACATGGGCTGGGAGAAGATGGGAAGGGGGATATTTTGGAGAGATATATAACAAGCATTGCAAAGCCCGTGGTTGTCAATGCAATTGTTAAATTGTCAGCCCGAGCACTGAAAATGCATTAGAATGCATTATTCTGCATGAGGTAATTGAGAAATATAGAGAGCCTGAGATATATGAGGTAATCTGCTTAGATTGAGAGTGATTCACAACATTTTTTAGTCCTAAAAACTGAAATTAATCACGTCTGTAATGTAATATCACTCCATGATGTCTGGTGACAATTTGACTTTTGAATCGAATGAAAAAATCAGCAGTTTTATTTTTTTTAATCAAATTTTTTAAACAATGAAAACATTACTGTTATTACAAGCTGTTTTTCATTGACGTCTAGTAGATGCGAGTCTCTAAATCTTTACATGAGCAGTTTGATTCATTCTGCACAATCTGAAAATGAAAAGACTGGACAAAGGTCACGTAAGTTTATGTTGCGAGACAGTTCAATAACAACAGTGATGTGCAAAAATCTAGACATGTCATCGTGAGACATTAATTTAAGCATGAACAAAAGGCAAGGATTATTGCAAGAAAATCTGCAAGCGGTGCGTGTGCGCACACATGCGATTTCGAAGCAATTCTAGAGCAGATTGGGAGCGACGAGTTCCCGCAGACAAAGCGATTTCACAGCAATTTTTGCAGCGATTCTAGAATCGCTGTCGAGTTGCATGAAAAAGTCACAGGTCTGCGCTAAGCTTAAAATACAAAGCTTCTGGGCAATTCGAATCATGCAGCACATAAATATTTCTTGTTATGTATAAGTTGCATTTGATTACACCAAAAGAAACTTGCTACAGCTACTATGTTGGAGATTACCCTAGGATAGGAGAAAAAGTGCACATTTTATTACACTCGCACGTTTGCTTACATCTTTTGCTTGCACCCTGACCCTTCACTGGAAGAATCTTCAGTATTATGATAGTAGTCAGAACTTGGTAGTGGTACATGCAGGTAGAGGTGTTACAGGTGGAGCTGCTGTGATGAATCACCACGTTTGGCTCATGACGAATCGCACTTGCTTTCAGGAAGTCCGGAGTCACTGATTACTACGCTACCGATGACATGCATGCGGTACATCTGTGCAGACGCATCGTACGAGGCCTTAACAAGACCAAGCAGCCAGAGGTGCGTGGTTGCGTGCGTGCGTGTGCATGCAGTTTGCTACTTGTCGTACCTTGGCTGATTCTCTGTGTACATCTAACTTCAGCTGTATAATGCAGGTTGCCATATCTGATCCTACTTTCTATTAGTCATTCCTGAACTGAATAATTTTGGTGGAAATCACTTCTCCATGCAAACTACTTGTGAAATTGTAGAATATCATGTTAAGTGCCGGCGGATTTGCAGTGAATCTATTTAAAACTCGTACTGTCAATAACTAGGGTAGGAACTTGAGGTTGAACTATAACCTGAGTCCTGAGTTATAGTTCCTTATCAGTAATTTTGTCACAAAGTCACATGACCAGTGGGTCACAAATTTTGATGCGTAGACGCATATCAGCCTACATGATACAGCCAAGGCAATGAAAGATTGGTGAGGAATCGTCCAAGGTTTACCAAATAGCAGTTTGGCTCACAAATCCATTTCTCTACTCTCCTTAAAGTGATTACGTCACCGTAAATGGTAAAAAAAAAAAAATACTTATAATCACAAAATATAAGTAATTCTGTTCACTTTTTATGGTTAAATTGCTGCATTATACTTCCTATTTTTCTATATTGTTTGATGTGAACATACACTCGTGACTCATATATAGCCCATAGCAAGCAATTAATGTCAGGAACATAATATCAAATCGTCCAGGTTTTTAGGATTTTTAACTAGTTGAGAAAGAATGTTATCAGGTAAGAATTTGACGATACGTTTAATCCCTCCCGTTAGTTCTTACTTTTAATGTAAAAAAATGGCAACAAAAATTTTACAAATTTTACCATAGAAAATTCGTGATGTAGTCAATTTAATGCAGTCGTCTTTGATAACTGCTAGCACTCGGTCTACACCCTTATATGCCTGCGGGGGGAAGCTATTAAAATAGTGAGTGTTGCATTTAATCGAGAGCTATATATATCCATTTCCAACAAACCTGTCTGTCTGCCACTTTTCAGCACAAATGCACAGGTTAGACCAGCAGCATATATATATTCTCTTCAGTATTAAAAATAATTTAATAGTATGGGTGCGGGGCAGATTTCATCAACACAATATAAGTTTATTTCTTTGATATCCATGTGGGTATGTGCATTTCAGAATTAAATACTCTTAAAGTGATTGTGTCTGCACATGGTAGATTCTAGCAGCGTAGAGCCTGCTTAAAAATTGTTTACTCGGAGAGAGCCGTTTCCGTAGAGGCGAAGTGATGCTCGTCTGTCATTTATCTACATGAACGCACCACTTAGATTCGCAGTATGTTCTCAGTGACATTACAAATAATTTAATAGGTTTACATTTTATGTTTGTGGG